GGGCTCGGCTGGCTCTGGGTGCCCCCTCCACCAGGTGCCGGGGGTGCCTGGGGCCGATGGGCGAACAGGACGCCTGGAGAGCAAAAGCAAGGGGGTTAGGACAAGCCCAGGGTTGGGGGCTCTGCACACCAGCACCCCAAAGGAGCCTCTGCTCTAGCAAAGCACCCCAACACCTTCCCCTGTGCCCAACACCATGCTCTGCAACCAGCCAACCCCCACACCCATCCAGAGACCCTCTGGGCACACCAGTGTTGGGGTGACCCCGAATCCAATCCCTGCCCGTAGGACCCTGCGGTGGGGGATGACCCCAGGTGCTTTTTTGCACTTCTCAGCCCAAGCCCATCCATCTGTCCATCCATCCATCCATCCATCCCCCACTTTGGCCCTTCATTGCTAGCTCCTGCTGGGGGACAATTTCCAGCCTTGCTGACCCCCTCCTTCTCCTGCCCCCTCTCCCCAGGCCCTGCCACTTCATCACAATGGATTTTATAGTAAAGACATCAGATTGAAGGAAGGACTTGCTGGCCAGGCAGTGGCTATAAGTTATTGGATTTCCCGGACGCAATTACACAGGCCAAGCGGCCCTTCTATTTACCTGTGTAGACAACTCCATTTATTTCTATTGACATGTTGATACTGCTAATGCCGTTGGTGGACAGGTTCAATGCGGTCTCCTGTCTGTCATCTGGGGAAAGGAAATACCAATATGAGCGTTAACAGAAACAGAAACAAGAACCTGCCCGAGAGAGAGAAGTAGGGTTCCAGCCTCTCCGGGCATCCATGCTCCTCTCCAGTTGGTGCTGCTCCCTCCCGGGGTGCCAAGGGACAGGGTGACCCAAGCTGGGGTATTGCGTCCTGTTACCTCGGTTGGAGATCTTGACGTTCATGGGGAACTGGGAGGCCACAGCCAGGAGGTTGTTCTGCAGTGTGTGTTGCACCAGGCGCTGCTGCTCCTCCACTGCCAGGGCCACTTTCTTCTCTGGGGGCTCCCCCATCTCCAGCTTCCCCCGCAGCTGCTCCAGCACCGCTGCTTGTGAGGTGGCTGCTGCTTGGGCCACTGCGAGGTGGTGGCTGGCCAGTCCCACCGGGATAGCGATGCGTCCCGGCACTGCTGCTGTCAGCATGCTGTCCTCTGCAATGACTGAGAGAGCTCAGTGGGTCCCCTCATCACCACCCCACCTCACCATCCCCAGCATTTGGACCACCTCCATCCCAGTAGCATGGGGCAGGGAGGGCCACCACCCCCAGCATTTGGGCTTGGCCCTCATCCAGACCCAGGAGAAATAAACCTTTCTCAGTCCCAGAGAGGGACTAAAAGGACAAAATCGTTCATATTTTCCCCAAGCAAAAAGGGCAAAAGCAAACAGGGAACATCCGTGCTGCCAGAGTAATATCCATCCCAGGGGAGAGATGCCTGCTGCGGGGCAGACATGGTCCTCACCCACCTTTCTTAACAGCATGCACTTGGCTGAGCTGGCTGCAGGTGTGCGTGGAGATGCCAAGGGCTGGCAGAGGCATTCTGGGGGAGCCCAGCAGGGTTGGGGTGCTGGCTGGTGAGTAGTTCAAGAGCGCCGTGCCGAAAGTCTGCCTCCGTCCCTCCCGACGGTTGCTGTCAATAGCTGCTTGGAGCTCCCTGGGAGAGCTGAGAGCCCGCTTCTCACATTCGTAGGGATACAGGTACTTCATGTATCTGCACAGGGAGAGAGCCAGGATGAGACCCAGCATCACGCACCTCCCAGCCAGCCCTGTGCTGAGCGGGAACCAGGGTGGGGATGGCACCTGGGAAGGGGCAGAGTCCTCCATCCCCCTTTGGGGCACCGCATGCTGCACGCCAGTGGGGGCTCTGGAACATCCAAGCCAGTGGGTGCCCCCCAACCGTTGTCATTGCCAGGCACTCACTGCGTGCGGAGGGTGAAGGCAGCGCTGGTGATGGAGGCAGGTAGGTTGAGGCCCTTGGTGATCTCCCGCCAGATCTTCTTGTTGATGACTTCGACCAGGCCACCCTTGTCCGTCACCAGTCGGTACAGTGTGTACAGGTCCAGCACTTGCTTGGCCATGATGGGGATGCGGTTCACAGGTGTCCCTTCCAGCCGCGCACGGAGGGGAGAGAAAATGGTGTAGGGTGAGCCCAGGGGGACTTTCACTCTCTGGGGACACAGCCCCCAGCTTGTTCCCACCACCACGGCAGGTATCAGCTGCCTCCTGAGGGGAAGACATGTCTCTCTGTGCCCAGGTGAGCGCCCGTGGGCACAGGGGGTGCAGGCAGGACCCCAGGGTGCCTGGGAGAGTGGCACGGTGCCCGTGAGCGGCACAGATCCTGGCATGCTGGCACAGGGTCCCCATTAATGGAGCTGTTGGTGGGGCTGGGTATGCTCTCAGCTGGGATGTGGGGGCACAGTGGAATGGGCAAAAGGCCTCCTCCAGAGCCCCTTAGAGAGGGTCATCCCCCTACAACTCTCAGTGCTCCCTATAGAGCATTTCCCTCCTAAATCTCTCAGAGCATTCTAGAAGGACTCTCTCTGTAAGCCCCTTTCAGAGCCCCAAAAAGAGATTTACCCCCCTAAACTTTACAGAAGGACTCACCCTGTAACCCTTTTTGAAGAACCCTTTTTGAACCCTCCTATAACCCTGCTGGAGGGACTCAACCTAAAACCTCACAATGGAGACGTTCTGTCTCCTAAAAATCACCCTCAGAGCCCCATAGAGAGGGATGTCCCCGTGAGTCCCTGGAGAGACCCCCCACCCCACAGATCCTCCCAGCGGCCCCTGACTGCTTAAAGGCCTTCAGTGCCCCCTCACCAAGAGACCTAACCCCAAATCCCCTTCAAGTGCTCCCAGTAGGGACCCTGACCCCTGGACCCCCAGCATTACCCCCTACACTGAGGCCACGGGGCAAGGGGACATGGGGTCACCAGGGCTCTGTGAGCCCAACATGGACCGGCATGGTCCCCGCAGCCACAGGCTCTGGTTCCAACCCCCTCCCCACTTTCCCAGGACCCTCAAATAGCCCCACAGCCTTGCTCTGCCCCATGGCACCTCGGAGCAATGGTCCAGGCAGTGGCTGGGGGCTGCGGTAGGGCAGAGGAGTGATGAGCATCCCACCTCATCCCGTCCCATCCTGTCCTATCCCATCTCACCCATATTTATTCCTCCTGCAGGGTGGTGGGGCACAGGCGCTATCGGAAAGCCATCCATTTGGCTGGGGGAGGCTGTCACGGCCGCGCTCCGCACCTCAAACAAAGCCGTCACTCACCGCCATCCTCTAGCATCCCTAATTTATGGCCCCGATATTGGCTCTGCTTCTTCACATAAGCCTGAAAAATGAGCTCTTTTTATTCCTTTACTGAGTTCATTTAACTTTTTTTTGTGTCTGTGTTGTTCGCCTGGTCAGGAAGGGGGGGAGAGGAGTTTATCCTCCTGGGAAAATGGCAGAGATATCGACTCGGTATCTGCCGGAGGTCGCTTGCCAGCCCCGCCTGGGGGCTACTGGCACTCCCATCATTTCAGGGGAGCCCAATTCTGGGGCTCCCCATTACCTGAACATGCCAATGAGTTCGGGGGGTCTCAGCCCCCGATCAATGGCCCACTGACTTCTTTTCCATTCCTGCCCCCACCCCTAGCTGTGGCAGCTAATGAAAGCGGCTTGCCATTAATCTCAGGGCCGCATGGGGCAGGCAACCGGTGCCCGTCTGCTAACAAAGGGACCTGTCTGCGTCCCAGCAGAGTGATGGTCCCAGCCCCGGCCAGGGTGAGTAGCACAAAAACCTGGGGATGTGATGTGGCCATTGTGGCACTGCAATTAGCTCCTTGATGGATTACTGGTCCTGTGTTATCAGCAAGGCCCTTGGCTCAGCTAGGACAGAGGGGAGTCCTGTGGACACCCAGCGAGCAAAAGCAGAAATAGTCTGCTTACAACCCAGCTTGCCACTTTCGGGAGTGCCACGGAGGTTGAGGGATGAGGTGCCTCACTGCCTGCACCCCATGTCTGATGGGGGTGATACCATCACCCCCATCTCATCCCTGCTCCCCCAGACCCCTTCCAGCAGCCACCTCTACGTGCCACTAGGCCTGGCTGTCCCTGCCCCATGTCACGGGGTCCCCAGTGCTTCCCCCACCAGGGCTGTCCCCAGCCCGTATTTCAGCCCCGCCAATTTTCCACCTCACTGACAAATGCCCTGACAGACAGCGGGTGCTGGGGGAGGACAACAACACAGCCCCTTTCATTAGAGCTCACTTCATGGGCATCAATCTCCCCTGGCCCACTGCCACCTCAGGGACACAGCCCTACCCGTGGACCCCGGGGTGCCCCAGCAGCACGAACACTGGCTCATGGGTGCTGCTCCTCAGCCAGCTCCCCATGACCCCTCGGAATGCTGTCCCTGCCCCGCAGCCCCCTGTCCCCTTTCTCTTTGCTACCTAGCTCCAAAATCCTCTCCTCCTCCAACAGGCACATGCACATCTGCATCCGCACACGTGCACCCACACACCTGCACCCGTACACCCGGACCTGCGCATCCACCATCCCTCCCTGGGCAGATGCCACCTGTTTGGACAAGGTGTGAGATGGAAGGGACAGAAGCGGGATGGCCAGACACAGAGGGATGAGAAAGCAGTGTTGGCAAGGAAGCATCGGGCTCCCTCCCTCCTCCCTGCACCACCAGGCGCTTGCTTAATTAGCCCCGGCCCCAATGGCGAGGGAGTTAATTAGCTCTGGAGAGAGAGATAATGAAGCCTCGGAACAGCCCATGAATCTTGCAGCTGATGGATGCTGGGGGGCTGAGGCAGTGCTGATGCTCCTGTTCGCTCCCCACAGCCCTGCACCAGGGCTGGGGGGGCTGGGGGGCACCCATGGGGCAGCACCCAGCCCCCCAACCCGCTTCCCGCCAGGGTCCAGCGTGACCCCCATGGCCATGCCATCCCTGATGCAGCACAGCCCTGAGTGAAACAAGTTTGTAGGGTCTCAGCCTGACCCGAAAGTCCATCACTGCTGCCCCACAGGCAGGTGGGCACCCTCACCACCCTGCCCACGGGCACAGCTTGGGGGCAACTGCCCATTTCTGCCCACCATCGCCCCACATACGTCCAGCCCCGCTGCTCCTGCACCACCCCCCGGCCTTTCTCCATTAATTAGCTCGGCATTAACCTCTGCCTGGGGTTTACTGGCTATTGAGCGGCATGTTCATTAATCCACACACCAGCAAAAGGCTCTAATTAATACAGCCGGCCACACGCCCGCGCCCAGCAACTTTTAATTGTTGCAGGCCAGGCTGGGGAGGGCGAAGGTTAAAGCATTTATCGAGTCCCCAGGAGCCGGCTCGGCCCCCCATGCTGATAGCAAAGATTTCCGATGTGGCCAAGCCGGCTGGTGAGCCCTTAACCCCTGGGCGCCCGGTGCTGCCTGGACCCCTGACCTCGCTCCCACGGCATCGCTAAGAGGTGCATCGTCACTGGGCACTGCTAATGGGAAGCGCTAACGGGCATCGCTGATCGGCATT